AAAATTTTTCATTTATATTATTTTTTTATTTTGTTGTGTGTATAATGTCTAGTCTACTATTATTTTTCCGAAAATTGTTATTATATTTTAATAATATTATTAGTATTATTATTATTACTACTATTATTAACAAAATAAGTAATTATATTATTATTATAATTAAAAAAAATAAAACAATTTTTAATATGATTTCTCTCTCTCTCTCTCTCTCTCTCTCTCTCTCTAATCAAATGCATTAATTTAAAATTAAATTACATTATTATTATTATTATTATTATTATTATTATAATTTAATAAAACACTACTACTAATAATAATAATATACTGAATTTTTTTTTTTTGGTTTGTAATTTGTAATTTAAAATATTAAATTTTTAATAATAATTTATAATATAATTATATTTTATGTTTGTGTGTGTGTTGTGTTATAAATTACATTATAAATTGTTATTATTATTATTATTATTATTTTACTTTTCAATTGTTTTGATTAAGTTTTCAGAGTATTTCCTATTATATATTATTATTATTATTTTATAAGTTATTTTACATTAAAATTAGTAGTAGTAGTAATAGTAGTAGTATTTTATTGATATATTAATTGTACAAAACATTTGCCTTTAATTTTTTTTTGTTTTAATATTAAGTTCATATTATATATATATATATATATATATATATGAAATGCATTAATAAAATTAAAAGTCAAATGAAACATAAAAAAAACAACTAAACAAATGAAAACAAATTCACTGCAAATAAATAAAATTAAATTATATATATATATAAAATATATTGAACTGAATATATATATATTATAACAATTATTTTAGTTTAGTTTTTTTCTGTATGTATTTATTTTAAATTTATTTAATCAAATTATAATACTAAAAAAAAAGTTTTGTTTTTTTTGTTGTTTTTTGTTTTGTGTGCTTCAATTAGTAGATAAGTTTAATTTTTTATAATTTTAAAAATAAATGTATTATCATTGTTATTATACTGTATATACATGTATGTGAAATGTATGTAAAATTTATGTATGCATTGATTATATGTAGGGGGAGGGGAACGGTATGTAATCAAACAAAAAAAACAAGTTAAGGGTTCAATATTCAAGTGTATTATATAAAAAAAAATTAAATATTAATGTAAAATTAATATTGCATTTTATCAATAAATAAAATAAAGTTTTTTTTATATATATACTGTATATAAATATTTAACAATAGGTTTTTGAATTTTATTTTTCACTTTTTTTTACTGTATTATATATACAATACTTTATTTGATATATATGTATACATCTATTGTGTGTTTAGTCGGCAAACATATATATATATATTTATATATATACTGTATATATATTTATTGATTAAAAATTTATAAAACATTAAAAAGTCATTGAATGTGTGTATATATCTACTGTATATTTACTTTTAATCATAATATTATATATAATATAATAATAATGATGATAAAAATAATGTATCGATAAAACTATATAAATATAAATTAGTAGCTAAAAATTTTTTTCAAAAATATATAATTTTTTTGTTGATAAAAATGTGTGTATATTTTTTGTTTGCCTAAAATTTAACAAGATAATTTATGTTTAATTTTTTTTAGTTTTATTTTTATTTATTTTTTTTTGCTTAAAAGTTACATTAGTCTAATGTTGTATTTGTTTTTTAAAATGTTAATCTAAATTTATAGTTAATATATTTAGTTTTTAGTTTTGTTGTAAATATTTTTTAAAAAGCTAAATTGCAAAATTTTGTTAAAACTAAAATATTTTTTTACTAAAAAAATTAAATTAGAAAATAATATAAGTAACAACTTTTTAAAAATATTTTTTCTATTTATTATTTTTTAAAATAAAATATTAAACTAATATTAATAAAGTATATTTGATTTTACAGTACTATGTTATTGATATTTTTTATATATTATAAAAATTTATATATAATTATTATTTTTTTAAATGATTTAGTATTTTCTAAAAATTCAATATATTAATAATGTATTATTTATTATATATATTTTTATTTATTAAATATATATTTTTTTCAATCTATACTATAATTTATTTATTGCCATATAAATAAATTCATTTAATATCTTAAATAATATGTTAAAAATAATAATAATAATAATCAGATATAATTGTGTTTCACTTATAAGAGTTAGGTTAGAGAGATCTTGGGTTTCAATTGAATTGCAAACAATAATAATACTAATAATAATAATATCATATATAATATTTATATTGAGAAATATATTGGTGTTTATATGTTATTATAAACACAGAATATATATATACAGTACTTGAAATAGATATATATTTATACAGAATTTATATGTAATCTTATATTAAGGCAATTGTCAGATATATATATATACTGTATATTTAAGTTATACAATATATATATATATATATAAATATAAGATTTAACAAAAATGTGTGAGAGATAGCAGTTTCTAGTGATACTGTATATAGATATAGATAAATATATATATATATATATATATATATATAGTATATATATTGGTCTCCAAATAGGATTTCCCAATAGAAATCACATCAAAACAAATTATGATAAAAATAATAATGAGAATCAACTCTCATATATATATATATATATCTAACACTATATATATTTAATTTATATTATTATTATTTTCAGTAAACGATTGCCAACTACACTACAATACAGTAAATAAAATTCTGTTATTATTATTATTATTATTAAGATATATATCTAATAAATTTTACGAATATTTAATTTAATTTTTATTTTTGTGTGTATTATTAAAATTTTTATTATCTTAACTTTTTAAAAAACAAACGGTTATATATATATATATATATATATATATATATATAGTATATGTTTCAGGGATTTATATCAAGTTTTTATTTTTATTTAAGTTTATAATACATAACCCCTCCGACAACCCTTTAGAGAGAAAGAAAGAAAGAGAGAGAGAGAGAGAGAGAGAGAGAGAGAGATTTAAGTCTAAATCAATTTGAAGTTGAAAAAACCAGTAGTTTTTTTTAATACCTAAAATAAAAGGATAGGAAAAAACAATAGGAAAATAATTGTAGATTTTTTTTTGTTGGGTTGTATTATGTATTGTAAATGTAAAGAGAAAAGAGGAGAAGCAATTAAGTGAAGTGTTGCAGCAAATTAACGGTACAAATCATTGCAATCTTGCGAAACATTACTACTACTACTACTACTGCTAACCAACCGATGCCTCCCATTCCTCCCCTACATCACAACACACACACACACATAGACATAGACATACCATACATATAGTGCCAGTAATTTTCTATTGTTCTCTGCGGTCCTCTTCAAAGAGATGATCTGTGTGTGTGTATGTATGTATGTATGTATGTGTGTGTATATGTGTGTGTATATGTGTGTGTATATGTGTGTGTATGTGTATGTATATGTGTGTGCATATGTGTGTGTATATGTGTGTGTATGTGTCTGACTATATGTATATATATATATATATATATATATGTGTGTGTGTGTGTGTGTGTGTGTGTGTGTGTTTGTATGTGTGTATATATATATATGTGTGTGTGTATGTGTGTGTGTATGTATGTGTGTATGTATGTGTGTTTTTGTATGTGTGTTTTTGTATGTGTGTGTATGTATATATATATATATATATATATATGTGTGTGTGTGTGAGTCGTATGTATATATATATATATATATGTGTGTGTGTGTGTGTGTATGTTATAACCCCCCCCTCCCCATCATCTGAAAGACCTAACGGTGATATAACAACAGCACAGTTGCATACACTCTCACACAATACTAGACATACACTACCACTACTCACCCGCTCGCTTGCATTAAAATATTTCTCTCCCTATTTTACACACACACACACACCCGCTCACACACTCACTCACACACACACACACACACACACACACACACACAAAGTGATTATATTTAAAAAGATATTTTCATCGCTAATGAATTACTAATGTCTGATATAATCTAAAGTAGAGAAAGAAAAGACAAGACTATTATAAAAACTACTGATAAAAGCAAAGCCTATCTCTCTCTCTCTCTCTCTCTCTCTCTCTCTCATGAAATAGTGATTAAAATAAATACCGGAAAAATGCACCAAAAAAACATAACAAATGTTATTATCAAATAAAAAAAATATTACTATAAATTTGTTAATGTTTTGTAATAATAATATAATGTTATGTTTTGTTGAGGTTTTTTTGATGTCAAAAAAAATTAATTTTTTTAATCAAGATTTGTATTTTTTATTAGTATTATTATTTAATACTACAAAATTATTAATTATAATATAATAAGATTTATTTTTTTATATAAAATCAAAAAATTATTATAATTATCACGACTTATATATGTTAAATAAATTTTTTGAGATTTTCAGATACAATATATTTATATTGAAAAAAATTAATGTAAAAAAATATCTAATAGTATAGACACAAAAAACACTCGCTTTTTTACAGTTGTATTATTACAGTATTATTATTACTATTATTGATATTATACTATACTTTAAGTATTAAACTTTAAGTATCATTACATACCATAATATATATATATATATTGTATAATATATTTCTGATATTAAATGGCAAATGAATTGACAAAAGTGTTCATTGAATGGAAAATAATTTTCAATACTATATACAAAAAATTTTATACTTATATACAGTATATGTAAAAAAAATAATTTTTTTGTTTTGTTTATTTCACTGTAAAGTCCTAAAAGTAATGTATGGTTTAAATACAGTACTACTATAAAGATGATGATATAAAAAATATAATATTTTATTTTTTTTAGATTTAAATAATAATAATAATAAAAATCAAATTTAATAGACAATAATATAAAGTAATGGCAATAATTCAAAAAAAATCTATAAATATTTTTTTTTAAATATACTATTATTATAAAAATATATTTTCAATTGAAAAAACACTTACCAAATGTGTCCAAAAAATTTATTAATATAACTATCGATTGAAACAGTTGTTCCCAATAATAATAATTTAATTTCATAGTTGTTTTTAATTTTATTATTAATTAGTTTAATCCGAAAATATTTTTAAAAAAATAATTGTTTGCCAATTATTATTATAATTATTATTATCAATAATTTTTGTTTGTTTGAAAGTTTTGTTGTTGTTGTTAAATCTATAAGTAATAAAAAAAACAAACAAACATTAATAAATTTTAATATTTTTTTTAAAATAGTATTTTACAGTAGCTTTTATTTTTTTAAACATTATTGTTTGCTAATATATTAAAAATTTATAATAATAATTTTAAAAATGCATAATTAAATATTAGTGTTTTTTCTATAATAATAATAATGTATTTTTTTAAAAATTAATATTTAAATAATAAGTTATTAAAAAAAATATGTAGGTGTGTGTGTACTTTATATTATAATAAAAAATTTTTTTTTGAATACAATATATACTATATTATAAATAGAAAACTAATATTAAATAAATATTTTCTCTTTTATTATATATATATATTATAATATATATATATAAACCATAGTATATATATATAGAAAAACATACATAAAAAATAACAGAATATTCTATACATATATAACAACAACAACAACAATGTGTCGATTCTATGAAAAATTTTCTCTTTATTTTTTTATATATTTTTTATTTTCAAAAAAATTCAATAAAATAATGTTAAAAAATTTATAAAGGGGAAAAAATACCATCATTTATTTGCACATAAAAAAATATCGCCCAACAATATAACTATATATATATATATATATATATATATATATATATATATATATATATATATATATATAAAATAAAAAGTTATTTACCATTATATTGACATACACTATATGACTGAAAAAAATATTATATATATATATATAAAACTGTTGCCTCTAATGTATGGGGATTTTTCAATGAGGATATGTATTTTCACACAAATCCCTATATATATATATATATTAAAAAATAGATAAATAAATAAAATTCAAAAAAAATATTAATAATAATAATATTGTTTGCTTTTATAGAATATTTTTTAGCTATTTTTATATATTATAATAATAATAGAAAAAATTATTATTATAATTACTAGTTTGCTTTAAATAGTTTTAAAAAATTATTATTATTATTTTGTTGTTAAATATATGATATATTGCCGGATATCTCTAATATGCACTTTAATCTTATTGATAATATATTGTTAGTATTTATAGTATATACATAATAGACTATTACTACTACTATTATATATCTATGATTTATATAACGTTTAATATTAAAAAAAAATAAAATAATTTATTATAGTATTATCAATACATACCTTATTATAAAATGGGAATCCAATGATGATGTTGTTGTTGATGACAATACTAATAATAATAGGATTTTAATATACAGTATATTATTATTATGTATTAAATTATTTATTAGTAGTTATTAGTGACATTGAATTACATTATATTTATTTATTAAACTTTACATAAAAAACAAAAATTTTTAGTCACTTTTTTTTATTAAAACACTTAGTTATTAATCATAAGTTTATTTTCTCAACAAAAAAATTATTATTAATTATAAATATTTTGTTTAAACACAAACAGATAACAACAATCAACAAAAAAAATTCATTACTATTTTAATATAAAAGTTATCGCATTTTTTTCTTAAACTTGATTTTTATTGATAACTATTTTTTTTTATTTGATTATAAAATAGTTTATAATTATTTAATTTAGAAAAAAAATCAAAAGTTTTTTAATTTAGTCAAACATGTGGACAGTCATACCAAAAAACACTTGAATATTAAACACAACTATATTATACACAAAACAGTGGTATCTTTTATATGAGAAACACATATATAAACACTTTGTATATATAGATATCAACTACCGTTCCGGTTAGCTATTGATATATACTGTAATGTATATATACGGTATATACCGACACCATCGACACATACACACAGTTTAAACACAGTGGTGTAAAAGTCAGTGATTTTCAGGCAGCACTGGTATGTTGTTATGTAATAATATATATATATATATATAGTAATAGACATGCGCTCCCAACTCCCCCCCCCTTTCTCAAAAAACAGTCAAACTAACCATATATTTAATATTATATATATATATATATGTTGTAAGATTACAGTCAGACAACTCAAACAAAATTCAATGGCATATATACACAGCATATATCATATATATTATATAAAAATTTTTGATAATAAATGTTGATTTTCTGTACATTAAATCAATGCCATACTATGTGTGTGTAATATGTATGTATGTGTATGTATGTGTGTGTATGTGTGTGTGTGTGTGTGTGTGTATGTATGTATTTTATTTGTATAAAAATATGTAATCTAAACCATTAGGATAGGATAAAATTGTTAGACATAAAAATGATATAATATATTATAAATATATATAAAAAAAAATTTTGTTAATGATTACAATAAATAATTTTTTTCCAACGCCTAATAGTTTTATCTTTATCTTTAACACAACAGTAGTGTCAGTCATCATCAGTGAGAAAGTGATATCATATATATATATATATATATAATATTATAAAATATTATAATAATAATAATAATAAATGAAATGCTCATTAGTTTGATAAATATTGTACTTTATATATATATATATATATATATATATATATATGATATATGTTTTATGATATTTATACATATATTTAAATTATTATGAATATTAAAAAGTTTTTAGTTTAGGATTTTTCCCTTTATCTCACTTTCTCTCTCTCTCTCTCTATATATATATATATATATATATATATATATCTACTCAACTAAGTGTCTAATTTATTATATATTATATTTTTTGTTAGATATTTATTTAAATTTATAGATAAATATTTTGATTAGAAAAATTAAACTATATATTTAATAAAAATGTTTTGTTTGTATTTATGATTTTTACTAGTTTTTGAATATTTACATAATAAGAAAAATTATTATATATTATAATACAATGTATAATATATATAGCAATATATATATGTGAAATTTTTGTAGAATTTAATGTAATAATAATAATAATAATTTAGAAATAATAGTAATAATAATCTATATTTTATAATGTTTTTTAAAAATTAATATAAAATACTATAATATATATATATTTTTTAATATAAAGATTATAAACTTAAATTAAGATTAATAAAATTTATAAATAACAAAATAAAATTCAATAAATAATAGTTTTATAAAAAATAATTAAGTTTAAAATATTGGGCAATAATTTTTTTTGGCACAAATAAAAACAATACTTTAATTTATATTAATATATATATAATGTTGAAAATTAAAAACATTATATAATAGTATATATAAAAAATAAAAAAAATATTTTTTTTTATAAATAAAAAAGTTTTAGACAAAAATTATTTGTAAAAGTATTAAATGTGATATTATTATTATTATTATTATTTTGTTGTTATTTTCAATCGTTATATTTTGTTATATTATATTATATATTTTTTAGTCTTATATTTTAAAGTAAGTAAAACGTTTAACAGGAAATGATATCTAATTTTTTTAGGACTAAAAAATAAAGACAAATGTTTTACACAAATATATATTATATATATATATATAATAAAAGAAACAAAAAAAAATCTCTTAAAAATCTCTTTCGTATTACACTTGTCTTGATTTTAAAGATTTATTTTACTTTATTATTATTATTATTATTTCTATAACATATATACAGTTTTTATATATATAATATTTTTTTTTATATATATATATAATATGTTTATAAGTCGATATAGTGTATATATATATATATATATATATATATATATATATATATATATATATATATATATATATATATATATATATATATATGTTAATTAAATTTAGCTAATATTAACTTTTTATATATATTTATATATCCTAAAAATATTTTGACTAATAAACTAATAATAGTATAATTAAAAAAATGTCTAAATTTCTAATAATAATTATAACAAATAATATACGATATAATCGTTTGTTTCTATAAATTTGTTTTTTTTTGAGTATATATTTACTAAAATAATATTAAATATTTGTTGTTGTTTTTCAAAAAACATTGTTTTACACATAAACACAAAAAAATAATTTTATTTTAAAAAATATCATTAAATAACATACACATAGAGAAAAAACAACAACAAAAAATTTTAGTGCAAATAGAAAATACTCATTTGTATTGTTATATCTATTTATTTTTTGTTTGTGTTTGAAAGTATCATTTGTTAGCAAAATTTGTTTTTTKTTTTTTTTTTGATTATACATTATATATATATAATGATATTATATTTGCTAAAAGTTTAAATAAATGTATTATATATATATATATAATATATTTTGTGTTAGTTTCTGGTATAATATCTATATATATATATATATATATGTTATACAAACTTATATATATATATGTTATACAAACTTATATATATATATGTTATACAAACTTATATATATATATATAAATTATAAATTACGGGATTAAAATCGATTAACATTATATATACAATATATAGTATATATTGTATATGAAATGTTTTTAATAAATATTTGCTTATCTTATACAACAACACTGTACTGTATTATACTATGTATTTTTAGGACATGTATTCAATGGTTATTATTTACTGTATATTGAATGTATTTAACTTTTTTTTATACATATATAGTGTATATTTTTAATTATATGACATCAAATGCATTCACAAACACACACATAGACTTATATATATATATATATATATATATATATATATAATATGTATAACAAATATGTATATACTGTATTGTATTATACTGTTTATTATCATATTAAAACATTTTATTTATACAATATATTAATCTACTGTATATATACATATATACAGTGTATATATATAATATGTAACCCGATTTTTCAATCTTTTTAATGACTATTGATTTTAATTATATATTTATATGTATAAAATTTTTGATAATACAGTACAGTATATGAT